TGTATGACTAAATCAGTACGCGCCTCAGAAGGCAAAGGAACAAAAACTGCGTACTTGCTAAAGCGGTCAACTATGACCATGACTTGGCTCTTGCCATGCGTGCTCTTGACTTGAGTGTCCATGAAATCTATTGACACTGAGTCTCCCGGCTGATCCGGAATGGGCAAGGGTCTGAGAAGACCTAACGGGGCACGCGTAGAAGACTTGTTACGCTGGCAGACCTTACAACTGCGAACATACACTACGCAGTCATTCTTCATCCSTGGCCAGGTATACGCGCGCATCAGATTGGCTAAGGTCTTTTGCCAACCAAAATGACCCTCTGTGTCGTGGCATTCTCCCAAGATCAGACTACGGATCTTTTCGCTATTGGGGATGCACAATCGGTCAAAAACATTAGTCTTCTCAAAAAGCAACCCTTCAGTAGTGCGGTAGTTCGGCTCGGTCTCTGGGGCCTCCTTGACTTTCTTAAGGAGCTCACCATAGATAGGGTCCTGCGCGTAGGCTTCTCTAACCTTCTGCTGCAGATCCTTTCCTATATCGAGGTGATGTACTATTGCCCCAAAGTAATCTGCTCTCCTACTCAGAGCATCTGCGACTACATTGTACTTCCCTTTAACAGGTTTGAGCTCGAAGTCGTACTGATCTATCTCTGCGGCCCACCAAGTAAGCTTAGGTGTCATCTTGGTCTGCGTCTTTAACCATCGTAACGTTTCATGGTCAGAATAGACTTTGAAGTGCCTCCCAAGCAAGTAGTGCTTCCAGTGGTCTAAGGCTTGCCTGAGAGCGTAGAGTTCCCTCTCGTAGGTAGATGTCGCGACCTTCTCTGAAGGCATTCTAGCGGACATGAACTCTACGGGTCTATACCCATTGCCATCGTCTTGCTGTAACACTGTGCCTATGCCGTACTGGCTAGCATCCGAAGTAACGACAAAAGGCAAAGACGGATCGGCGACCTTAAGGACCGGGTACTCTATCAACGCCTGCTTTAGCTTCTTCATGGCAGACGTGCAGTCCTTGTCCCACTTCCAGATTGTCTCTTTTCTTAGCAATCTGCGAAGGGGCGCAGCGATGGTGGAGAAGTTCCTCACGAACTTCCTGTAGTAATTTGCTAAGCCCAAGAATGAGCGCAACTCTGTTAGCGTACGTGGCGCGGGCCAATCTCTAATCGTTGACCCTTGCTATCTTCTGGCTTAACGCCGTCTCCGTCTAAGACGTGGCCTAGATACAAAACTTGGGTTTTCGCCCAATCGCACTTCTTCGCATTGATCTTGAAGTTAGCTTCTCTCAGCTTCTCCAAGACCTGCCTGAGATGACCCTGATGCTCGTCGAGGGTCTTACTAAACACTAGAATGTCATCTAGGTACACTACAACAAATCTATCTAACCATGGCCTAAACAAATCGTTCATACAACGCTGGAACGTAGCTTGCGCATTGGTTAGTCCAAAGGGCATCACTATAAACTCATAGTGCCCGTACCTAGTCCGGAAGGCTGTCTTATACTGATCATCAGGATGTACCTCTATCTGATGGTATCCGGACTTAAAGTCTATCTTAGAGAAGTACTTGGCCCCCTGCACTCGATCTAAGAGATCGTCTATCCTAGGCAGTGGCTTAGCATTCTTTACTGTAGTAGCATTCAGACCCCTATAGTCTATACACATCCTCAGCTCTCCCTCTTTCTTAGGGACAAAGAGAACAGGGGCTCCAAAAGGAAACGAACTGGGCCTAATCCAACCCTTTTTGAGGAGCTCGTCCAACTGCTTCCGTAGCTCCTCTAACTCCCGCGGGGACATCCTATATACAACACCCTTAGGAGTTCTACTGCCAGGCTCTATCTCAATACGGTGACTGATGGGCCGCGACACTGTGCCTGTCGGCGGCTTAGTTAAATCCTTAAACTCTTCCAGCAATTTGGCAATAGTAGGGTCTACGGGCTTCTCTTCCTTAGGCTCAGTCACTGGCCTAATACAGGCGACAAAGACCTGTTCCTCCAATTTCTCCTTCTTCACCAATCTGGCGAATGCGGGCGCGCTCAGGCAACAATGTGACAAGGAATTCTCTACGCCTGACACATGGAACAGGCGGGCAGTCTTAGCCTCGCCTGAAGAACTAGGGAGCCTACACTCGTGCTCCTTCAAATGGAGCGTGGCCCCGRCTGCCTCTCCCCAATCCATTTCCAGAACAATGTCGAATGGGAGGCTGTCTTCTACGAGGAGAGTCAGGGAGTGGAGGACCTCTTCCACTTTCCCATCCTTCTCTAGGCGGAAATACGCTTGGACTCCCTCTACATCCTCCTCTACAACCATAGTATGATTGTCTGCGAGGATACTAACTATGGGATCTGCTAGCTTTTGGACTTTAAGCCCCAGCTTCAACTTCTGCAGCGCCTTCCTACTAATATAGCTGCGGGTAGCCCCTGAATCTACTAGGGCCCCTACTCTACCTCTAAAAATCTCTACATCTACCAGAATTAGCTGTCCTTTCTGTTCTTTTTTCATCT